GAATATCATTATCACATTTTCAAATTTTAAATTTCATAAGGTTTTAAATTTTCAAGTTAAAAGATTTGAAACTTTTAAATTTTTAAATACTTCAAATTCAAAACCTTCCATGTGTTGGTTATTTGATAATATTTAAATTACAAATTAAAAAAGGATATAAATTATCGAGCCTTGAAATACCCTTATGTTTCCATATTAATAAATTTCCCAAAAAGCCTTTTCGGAAAAAGCACTTTCTAGATTCGTAATTCCAAGAATTTTCCACTTTTACAGCCCCGCTGGTGACAATATAACAAGTGCCTACTGTATTTTGCATGAAGAACGTTAAGGGTCCTTTCGCTTCTTTACTTCTGACAAAAAGTAGGCGTTTTATGAGAACTCTTTTGCAGAAAAATTCCCGAGACAGTTGAAGTAAAACCGGATAGTTTATTATTTCTGTTTTTAAATACGGATAGCTAGAACTTCTATTTAATAAAATATAACATTATTTTTGTTTCTGCACAAAATTTCACGCTTCTAAAATTCTTGAAGTATAAACTTTAAAGAAGATCAATTATAACTTTTGTGACAAAGTATCATGCATTTTGGATGAAAGATTATAAAAAATAACACTATATATACTGAATTCCTGTTTTGAATTTCCCGTCAAAAATAATTTTCAGTGCATTTTTCTTTAAACTTTAATTTGGGTTCTTATTTATTGTTCATTATTGTAAAACTGTATGTCATATTAAATCTTCTTTTTTCCACATTTCTTTTTTTTAAAAAGGTATTTATTTTACAAATAAATAAATATTTACATGTGTAAATAGTAAGTGTACATAGAACTTTGTACTTTATATTTATATGATTAATATCATTATTATTATTTGTTCTGATTTTTACTCTTCTTATTTGTACCGTTATTAGTATTAAACATTTAAAATATTTTTCAAATTAAGTTTTACATATAGATTACATCACTGATATAAAGAGTCACCATCTTTTTATTTAAATATTACTCATTCATCTTAAAATTAATAAGAAAAATTAAATATGTTAATACAGTAGACATGTATAGTTTTGTTAGTTTTTATAGACAACGTAATTATTACTGATTTACATAGATTACTTTTGAAAACACACTTTAGTTGTTACGCTTCTACACGCACGCTACTCTTCACAGAAAGTGAACGAAAAGAAACGCGATGCAATACGCACCGCCCGGCAGATGGCGCATATAAAGTTACATTAGAAACAAAGGACAATACGGTGCATTCGACGTTCTACCAATTTTCATCTTACAAATCTCAATAATTCGATTACTACTACCTGACGAACACTACTCTTCGCTATACTGCAAATTATTTAGATTTATTTTAGAGTACCGAAGTGTAATCTGGTCTCCGAAGAATGACTAACCTTGTACGCACGGCAGAACACGCGGTGCTGCTTCTCTGTACGGAAGAGTTCGACACGAATTACGCGTAAACACCACTGCAATGCGTGACAATGCTGTTCTCTACGCGAGTACATTGAAATGAAGTTTTTGATGATTAAATTATAATTTTTCCTAAAGATATGATACATATACTTTAACTTTGATAATTTATTTTTTTAGAAAATTCACAAAATATGTAATTTGCAAATGTTTCCAATATCGTATTAGCGCAAGAGGTGTTACATGGTGACTAAACTATTTGGCGTTGCCTTTTATTTACATGTAATGTACTTTTGTGGGATTTGTTAATCTTACTCTATCTTACTCTATAGTATAAAATCATAACGTAACGGTGTCACGCATAACGCTGTAACGCGGATCGCTACCCCCTCTACTCCACAGTCCAAGGTCCACTCACCATGTCACTTTAGAAGCGTATTCACACGAAATAGGCGCGAAGCGCCTTGGGGGGTGGGCCGCGAAACGGCCAGGGGGCACCGCCCCCTAGTACTCTTATAAAACGTGGTGAAGGCAAAAAGTACGAATCAAAACATGAAAACGATTATTTGATTGAAACGGTGAGCGAGTGAGCCAGTAGAGTGAGCCACTGTAGCGCTACGTAATCTACGCTGACATTCGTCAAGCCACTATAGTGGACTGTCGTACAGAGAGATGGTATCCGCCAAAGCCATTATAGAGGCCTGTTGTATCTAAGAGGTTAAAATAAACATCTTTCCAATATTATTAATCTCTCAAACATCCGTGAGCGAGTGAACCAGTAGAGTGAGCCACTATAGTGGACCGTCGTACAGAGAGATGGTATCCGCCAAAGCCATTATAGAAGCGTGTCGTATCTAAGAGGTTAAGTACTTTGGAACGCTCATGGATAAATAATAAGTTGTGCGTGATTTCGTTAAACTGCTCTTTAATTTAAAACACTGTTTACTACGATGTACACAGTTAAGGAAAGCAATAAGGATAGTTGATTGACAATGTTCGCGTAATGCGGAGAAGAGAAACTTTCGCGTACGTTGTGCCTAAGAGGTTAACAATATCGAATGCATCCAGTAGACATTTTGAAGCCTCACTGCCAAACACAGTGGTTGTCCCATGCTGTTTTATTCTCACCATCACAATTTCGTTCTTAGTAATCTAAACTTCCAAACGCAACGCGATAAAAGAGAAATGTTCGACGTTATATTCTTTCATAAGATAATGAAAGGTAAGATATCTTGACGGATGATGATCCAGGCTTCCTTTTCTCTGATACCCTCAAGTTTCCTGAGAAAGTACGCTTTAATTCGTAGCAAACAACCGAGCGCTAATTACGGTTATTACGGTTGCATAAATCGAATCGGAAATTATGTGAACTCTGTTCATCTCAATGTCAATATATCCGGAAACTTCGTAGTATGCTAAAAACACGCGTCAGTCAATTTTGTTTAATTCTTAATTGCGTTAGATTTTCGTGTTAATATACGACATGTTTTCTGTATCATATTGCACATTATGTTATATTTCTTCATTTCGTTACTTTTTTATATAGCCTTTAATGTGTGTGTTGTTATTCTAAGTATTAGTATAATTGTAAAATTATATTTAATATTTTTTTCTATGTTGTTTCTTCTCTTATGAAGGTGCTTAAAGGGTAATCTGGAAATTTAGAGATTCAGGAGTTTGGGTATTTTTGAATTTTGAAATTTGGGATATTGAGAATTTTCAAATTTGAAAGTTTAGAAATTTGATAACTTAAAAATTTGAAAAGTTGAAATTTTGAAATTTGAATATTTGGAAATCTAGAAATTTGAAATTTGAGTATATATGGAATCTGAATATTTGGAATTTAGAAAATTGAAAATTTGAGAATTTCGGAACTTGGAAATGTGAATATTTGTGATTCTAAAAATTTGAAATTTGGCATACTGAAAATTAGAAGTTGAGGAATTTGACAACTTAAAAATCCGAAACTTTGAAATTTGGAAGTTTAGCAATGTGACAACTTAAAAATCTAAAAATTTGAAATTTGAAATTTGATATTAGGATATTTGGAATTTGGGAATTTCCAAATTTGGAAGTCTGAAACTTGGAAATTTCATATTTGGAAATTGAAAAATTTGAAAATGTGAGTGTGAAAATTTATAATTTGAAATTTGAAATTTGGAAATACAGATATTTCGAATTTGGGGATTTGAAATTTGAAAATATAAAACTGCACAAATTTTGAAATGTAAAAATTTAAAAATACAATAAACCCTAAAAGAATTACAAATTTAGAAGTACCGAATTTATAGAAATTTTGGAATTCGTAAATTCAAAAATTCGAAAATTTAGAAATACATCAATCAGCTAATATTCCAAATATGAATATTCGAAACTAACCAAATTTAGAAATCTCATAATTGGAGATTGAGGGACTTAGAAATTTGATTACAATCCTATTTGCAAAAAGAGTCATAATCCGCAAATAAATAAACAAATTTAAATTTAGAAATTTTATACCGATACAATAACAAATCCAAAAATTTAACATCTTCCTTATTTCAATAATTCAATAATTTACTCCCAGTCGACAATTAGAAAAGTTGGTGAACCCAGCTACCCCCGTAAGCCAATGTCAAGGCAGCGTGAAACAATGGTACACGTATGTGTCGTAAAAAGTGCTAATTACTTTTCGTAACACATGGTGGTCACAGGTGTGTGCTTATATGAATGTGCACAGGTTAGGTGGATCACCGAAAACCAGCAAGCGGAGAGAGTATGTACAGTCAAGAGCAAAACTGACTTTACTAAGAAAAATGGCATCTAAGGAGAAGATTGATCACTCAGTGATTTTTAAGGACTTTTGGAGTTGAATCAATAATGATTTAAAGATTTAAGAATTTAGAAATTTATGGATTTGGTGGTTTAGGAATTTGAACATTTAGAAATTTGGGTTTTGGGAATTTTAGGGTATAGAAATTCTAGAATGTAGAAATTTGGAGATTTTAAAATTTTGGTGTACAGGAATTTAAAAATTTAGAAATTTTGGTTTTGGGAATTTTGGGGTATAGAAATTCAAAAATCTAGAAACTTGGGGATTTTAGAATTTTGGGGTACAGAAACTTGAGAATCTACAAATTTAAAGATTTTGGAATTTTGATAAGAATTTGAAAATCTAGTGATTTGTCGATCTATGAATTTGGAGATCTAGGGATTTTGGGATGGAGAAATTCAGAAATTCTCGGATGCATGAATCTAGGGATTTAATGATTTAGGAAATTAAGGATTTTAAGGTTTCACTTTGGAACTTGCACATTTAGAAACTTGAGAATTTGCAAATATCAAAATCTGAAAATGTAAAAATTTAACAACTTGAAATTGCGAGAACTTCAAAAATTTGAAAAATTGAAATTTGAGAATATAAAAATCCTCAAGATCGAAAAACTAAAATTCCTATAAGTATCCTTATCTGAAGGAGCCTACATTGCAACCGAGTGTACCCCAGGGCTGGCTTGGGTAAAGCTGGGTCGCAGTGCTATCGATCTCCGCCCACCTGGAGACCTCTCTCTACCCCTATTCGTACTCGATGCTTTACAGAATGAACCATTGGGCCTACAAGAACGATAGAAGGGTGCCGACCAACTTCCCACAACCTGCAGGCTTCTCAAACATCAACTTATATCTTAAAAGAAAATGAACATGACCTGAGATGTATCGGTCACATCAACGGTAAGATGGTTTTCAGAATATAACTTTTAAAATATTATTTAAGCACCGTAACATTTTCAAAGTCCTAACTCCAGGACTCCTCTTTTATTAGAAACTCATGGATCTTATGTCCATAATACTTATGTTTATTTTTATAAGATGTCTATAAGTATATTAAACGACAATATATAACAAGGATTAACGTATAATATAACGATGATTTGACTGGAGCGGCGTCATTACCCAGAAAAGTATTTTTATTTCCTTATTATTACCTTCCAGCTTTATTTCCAGTACAGTATCAGTTATAATTTTCGTTAAAATCATTCTGAACAATATTTTGTTTATAATAAAATAAACCACAATTTGTAATTAACTTTTGTTCAAATAGAACGTTAAATAACACCATTACCCGTCGCTGACAGGACGCGAATGAGCCAATCGGAACGATTCGGCAATCTTCGGTAATTTACGACGCGCGAGACGATTGCCGATTCGCGACCGTTGGCACATAGCTATTGGAACAGATGTATAAGGCGAATAAAAACGTGTTGTGTAAATAAGTAGAATAATAAAAACGTGCATTCGATATCCTAACAATTTTTGAATAACAATAAATTCTTAATTGCCATACTGTCTGTCTGTATGTGGTAACGGATGTGCGAATTCTGGTGGATGCTTGTATCTCTAAAAAAGGAAGAGAGCGTGTAAGCCGCATAAGTGTAAGTCACGTGCTAAATTTAATAAATCTTATAAGTTTTACTCGTACAAAGTTCGTATTTTCATATTTTTGTATGTCACCTTATTAAGTTTAAAGAATTAACTTGAAAATATTGCAAGGAAGCAATCTATATGTTATCCGAATCGGTCGCAAGAGTGCGCATCTTTTATTTTCTTTTATTAACGCGCCATTTTTGTAGGTTAGTTCGTACAATGTCCTACTGCTATAAATACCTTCTCGTGAAAGTGATTTGAACTCTAACGTGTATAAAACAAATTAATATACAAAGGAGGTAAAACGAGTGTTTTGTGCATGTGAAATGGGCGTTGAAATATTAGCAAATCGGAACAAATTATACAAATTTTACGGATTTCCGACAGTTACGATATCACGAAAATGTATTCACGTATTACAAAGTAAGAGGTTAGCGATCGCGGTTTAATGTCAGAGATATAGTGAGCAAATTTACATTCGGGGTGCAGCTGACTATTCAGCTGAATGAAAAAACAGAATAAATACATAAAACATATGTCACATCGTATAAAGAGGTACCTATAATAATTAATCAGCACGTGGTTCAGCAAACTAGCGGACGTAGCTAACCTTAAATAATGTTATATCGCCTGTATGACAGTTAGGTGATTTATGACTAGGTGATTTGACATTGTGAAAAGGAAGAGAAAGGTGATTAATGTGTTACAAATGCACGTGCCAATTTGAGATGCAAAATATAAGATAATTTAAATACAATAGAAATGAATTAAATTGTACTTAGCAGAACAACTGACACACATTTGTTACTGAAATGATTCAAAGCATTTGTGGTTATTTTTAGACACTATCTTTTTCTTTGGAGTGATATGTAACTTGTAATATTATTTATAAATTTATTAACTAATTTGCTGTAGAATAAATTCCTTACGAAATGTAGAATAAACAAATTTATACGACAATTGAAAAAGTTATTAAGATTACAATATAATTAATAATTTTATTATCAAGCTTGTAAAATTATTAAAAAATTTATTACTAAACTTGTAATGTTCTTAATAAATCTACTAACAAATTTACAGTATAATTAATTTATGCTAATAAGTTTGTAATATTATTAATAAATTCTGCAATATTATTCAGAAATTTATAACATAACAAATATATAATTTATTATTACTTTTTCATTGATTTTTATTTATAGGATTTTATTTATAATTACTTATATCTGTATTTTTTTACTTAGAATTTAAATCAAAGGTTCTGTAACTGATGATTATTCATATTATTTTATCATATTTTTATTCCAATAATACTAATTATAATAATTTCATTTAAATTTAAATAAAATATTAAAATAATCAATTTTTATTTTGAGTCTCATTCCTTGACAATTGCACTTAATTTAATAAATTTTATTCATTCTTATTTACATATATTCTTTTTATATTTTTAATACAAACTGAATACAAAATGTTCCAAAATTAAAACAAAGTAATTGATACATCTAGTCTATGTATAATATAATATCGGAGATATGTCCTCACTGACAATAAGTACGTCTAAGAATTGGATGGGACAATGTGCCAACTTTTGAGATACAATGGCGGTCAACTTCTGTACTGCATACGCTGTTGTGTGATTCAGGCAACTGTTACAATGTTTCAAGTTCAAACTTTGTCGTTACCGCATGCCTGCCATTTCCTGATTAGAGTACTAAGCTGACACTATTAAACAAGTAAGGTGTTAACCGTATAATCCTTCAGCAGATGCCTGGTCACAGACTGCAACAGCTAATCAGTTATATTCCTCTTAGGTTTGTTCTATGTTGCGTACGTTCTTTTTCCCGGGGAACGTACTCAAATGTTAAGAGGAAACATGTCATATATTAAATATGACGCATGATATATATTAAATGTTGAAAATATGATATAGATCTTCTTTGTTTATATTATTTCATTTTTTAATTTTCAAACATCGATTTTCCTAATTTCTCAGTTTCAAAATTTTTATTTCCACATTTCAAATTTCCGAATTATCATATTTCAAATTATCAAAATTTCAGTCCAAATTTGCAAATTTCAAAAATTTCAAAATCCTAATTCTCTAATTTTTGATCTTCAAAATTTCCAAATTCCAATTTGCACATTTGAAATTTCCAAAATTCGAAATTCCAAATTTCAAATTTCCAAAATCCCATATTTCTAAAATTTCCAATTTACCACATTTCCAAAATTCCAAATTCCAAATATTTTAAATTTCAAATTTCCAAATTCCAAATATTTTAAATTTCAAATTTCCAAATTACTACATTTCAAAGTTCCAAAATTTCGAATTACTAATTTCCAAAATTTCCAAATTCCAATTTGCACATTTGAAATTTCCAAAATTCGAAATTCCAAATTCCAAATTTCCAAAATCAGATATTTCTAAAATATCCAATTTTCAAAATCCCATATTTCTAAAATTTCCAAATTCCAAATTTTCCAAATTCCAAATTTCCAAAATCAGATATTTCTAAAATATCCAATTTCCAAAATCCCATATTTCTAAAATTTCCAAATTACCACATTTCCAAAATTCCAAATTCCAAATTTTTTAAATTTCAAATTTCCAAATTACCACATTTCAAAGTTCCAAAATTTCAAATTACTAATTTCCAAAATTTCCAAATTCCAATTTGCGCATTTGAAATTTCCAAATTTCATATTACCAAATTACTAAATTCTCGAACTCTCAAACTCCCAAATTTCCAACATGCAGAAATGACCAAAGTCCAAGTTTTCAAATCCGCGAATATTTCAATCTGCAAAGTCGCAAATTTCCAACACCCAAATTACAACATCAAACGAGTACCATACCTAAACTCCGTTTATATACACACAGAATAACGCAAAGCAGCATAGAACTGAAATTAAAATAAAAGCAACAGTTCCTAACCGTCCCATTGTAGAGGTAAATGGTCGGCAGCTAGCTAACGAACTTGAGAAAGGTACTAGGTATGTACATACGTACATAACTGCGGTCTCATTACCATACATCAACTAACCGTAACTTTAAAATGGACCTTACCTAAAAAACACGTCTTGAAACAACCGAATTCTCTTTGACCAAAATTCCTTGCAGCCACAAAGGGTTGATGCGTTTCGATGCACGTTCATCAAGGATTTCTCGTTCGGCTCAACGAGTGCTAACGACTCTGTGAATTCTGAATCCTTTCTGTTACATCGCCACGTATAAAAGAGAAGATAGTTCAGAGAGGATACAGGGTGTCCTAGTTCCTTTTACAAAAAATCGAACATTTGCAAATTTCTAAATTAGAGTTTTTATATTATGAAATTTTTTAATCATGGAATTTGTATATCTACAAATTTACAAATTAAGGAATGTAGATTACTGTTTCTTACTAATGGAACTTGCACATTTTCAAATTTTTAAATTGTAGAATTTGCACATTACCAAATTTCTATATTACACACCTTGCAAGTTTAAAAGTTTTTAAGTTACGGAATTTTTAAGAGCAGAATATATTAGTGAAGTTTCATGGTAAAAATCTGGGACACCATCTGGGATCCTAACCTAACCATATACAAAGTTAATCCCTAATTATAACTTCATATATAAGTTATTAGCTACATAAGAAAATTTATTAAATAAAATTACATAATGTTTAAGTTATTCTAAAAATAAATTTAAATTCAGGCTTATTTTAGTAATACACTATTATTGCCTCTTTGAGACTTTCTTTATACAACGCATTTTTATACAAATTTTCAAGCTTCATTGAAATTCAAAAGGCAACATTGCAAGAGTGAATATAAGGAACTGATTAAAGCGTTAAGGTAGCAGAGCATGAATGTATTACAAGTGAGCGTGGTTTTAAACTTCTCACTGGCAGGGAACGAATGAAAGGACGAATGATGAAAAGACTGTGATTGGAATTCATAAAAAACAAATTCTATCGAAAGATTGCAGACAAATTATACTATTGTATCAAATTGCATTATTATTTTGCTTTGTATATTGTAACAACAACAACAACAACAAAATAATATTAGGCACTTCGTTAGGGTGACCTTTATGTTTCCATCAAAAAACAAAGTAACAAGAATATCCTATTTTTCTTCAAGAAAAAGAACTGCGTGTAACACCAGAAAGAATGCAACGTTTTGAGAAATTTGTTTCAGCAACGAACGATTTAAGAGTTATGTGAAGTCGTGAGGCTCCGAGACTCACCCTGTATGCACGGTAGAAAGATTGCTGGTATTACATATATGTATATATAGTAGTGGGAGTGTACATGGTTGTGTACACCGTTCGCCCTCCACAAAGGTTACGAGAGAAAGCCCTGACAACAATGAGCGTTTCCCTGGAAAGTCGTGGAAGGTGACGCGCGCACAATGCCGGAGAGAGGAAAAAAAGTAGCGGGCGAAACGAGATGGCAAACTTTGTGCCCGGCTTCGTATTTTGCCGAGGGGTGCCCCTGAGACTTCTAACCTTCACAATTTTCCGTTGCTTCCTCTTTACCTGTGATCCGCGGAACAGATCGAATTTTCTCTGCTATTCCATTTGTACGCGACGGAAATCTGTTATTGCGGTCATTCTTATTACGTATAACGATCAAACACAAAAGTAATTTTAAAACTGTCTTGTACTCTTCGTGTACGATTCAAAGAACCACCTTTTACACACAACTTCTAATCTAACTTCCAACCTAACCACAACTTTCTTATGACGGAATTTCTTTAATAATTTCTGACGATGAAAATCATTTCTATTGCATTATGGATGATTTTAAATAGCAGTGTTTGCGATCTTCACTTTCGTTGGGATTTCGAAGTGAATTCCACGACTCTGTTCTTTAATTTAACACTCTATTAGCTTTTGACGTGACACGTGTTTGCTATTCGGCTTCCAAATCTATTCTAATGGCCACGTGCCAACCGTCGCAGACCGGCAACCGGCTCGCGCACCGTAATTTATCGAAGATTGCCGAATCGTTCCGATTCG